TAGGATTTTAAATAGTTCAGCTGGAATTCTATCTCCTCCACTAGCTTTGTTTCAAGTAATACTTCTTCAGGCCCACTTAACTTCACACTCTAGGATGTTGGCTCTAGCTGAGTGACCACATCACCATGGTTATCTGGGTCATTAAGATTTTTTTGTATGGTTCTTCTGTGTATTCTTGCCACCTCTTCTTAATCTCTTCTGCTTCTGTTAGGTCCTTACCGTTTCTGTCCTTTATCATGCCCATCCTTGCATGAAATGTTCCCTTGGTATCTCTAAGTTTCTTGAAAAAGTCTCTAGCCTTTCCCATTCTATTGTTTTCCTCTATTTCTTTGAATTGTTCACTTAAGAAGGCCTTTTTATCTCTCCTTGTTATTCTCTGGAACTCTGCATTCAGTTAGGAATGTCCTTCCCTTTCTCTCTGCCTTTCACTTTTCTTCTTGCCTCAGCAATTTGTAAAGCCTCCTCAGACAAACACTTTGCCTTTGTGCATTTCTTTTTCTTTGAGATGGTTTTGGTCACTGCCTCCTGTTCAATGCTAAGAATCTCCTTCCATAATTCTTCAGGCACTCTGTCTACCAGATCTAATTCTTTGAATCTATTCATCACCTCTACCATATAATCATAAGTGATTTGATTTTGGTCATACCTGAATGGCCTAGTGGTCTTCCCTACTTTCTAAAATTTAAGTCTGAATTCTGCAAAAAAGAGCTCATGATCTGAGCCATAGTCAGCTCTAGGTCTTGTTTTTGCTGACTGTATAGAGCTTCTCCAATTTCAGCTGCAAAGAATATAATCAATCTGATTTCAGCATTGACCATTTCCATGATGTCCATGTATAGAGTCATCTCTTGTGTTGTTGGAAGAGAGTGTTTGCTATGACCAGTGTGTTCTCTTGACAAAGCTCCGTTAGTCTTTGCATTGCTTTATTTTGAGCTCCAAGGCCAAACTTGCCTGTTTCTCCAGGTATCTCTTGACCTCCTACTTTTGCATTCCAATCCCCTTTGATGAAAAGGACATCATTTATGTGTGTGTGTGTGTTCTAGATGGTCTCATAGGTCTTCATAGAACTTAGGGTCAACTTCAACTTTTTTGGCATTAGTGGTTGGGCCATAGACTTGGATTATTGTGATGTTGAATGGTTTGCCTTGGAAATGAACTGAGATCATTCTGTCATTTTAGAGACTGCACCCAAGTACTGCAGGCTCTTTTGTTAATTATGAGGGCTACTTCATTTTTTCTAAGGGATTCTTGCATGGTAGTAGATACAATGATCATCTGAGTGAAATTCGCCCACTCCTGTCCATCTTAGTTCACTGATTTCTAAGATGTTGATGTTTACTCTTCCATCTCCTGCTTGACCACATCCAATTTAATTTGGTCCATGGACCTAACATTACAGGTTTCAAAGCAATATTATTCTTTACAGCATCAGACTTTACTTTCAATGCCAGGCACATCCACAACTGAGCATCATTTCTCCTTTGACACAGCCACTTCACTCTTTCTGAAGCTATTTGTAATTGCCTTCTACTTTTCACTGGTAGCACACTGGACACCTTCTGACCTGGGGGACTCATCTTCCAATTTCATATCTTTTTTGCCTTTTTATACTGTTCATTGTGTTCCCATAGCAAGAATACTGGAGTGGTTTGCGATTCCTTCCCCCAGTGGACCATATTTTGACAGAATTCTTCACTATGACCCATCTGTCTTGGGTGGCCCTACAGGGCACAGCTCATAGCTTCATTGAATTACACAAGAGTCCCTTCACCACAACAAGGCTGTGATCCATGAAGGAGCACATCACTATACACTTATCCAACATATCAAGTCCTGTGGCTTCTACTGCCAATGATACATTCCATTTCCACAACCCATTTCAGGTTCCTATCATTATGTGTACCACTACAACAGCTTTTCTCACTGATTTCCCTGCCTCCTCTCCAATCTATTTTTCATAGAGGAGACATAGAATACTTTCTGTACAATAAATCAAATTTTTTCACTCCCCAGGTTAGAAATACTCAGTATCTTTCTCACTGTGCTTAGAAGAAATTCTAAGCCCTTCATTATGCCTGTAAGTCTCTATATAATATAACTCTTTTTTGTTTAGTTTTTTTTTAGTTTATTTTTTTATTGAAGGATAATTGACTTACAGAATTTTGCTGTTTTCTGTCAAACCTCAACATTAATCAGCCATAGATATACATAATTACTTCTCTAAATATACCTTTCTGTTGCCAATCTGGCCCCTTTTTCATCCTTAGGACCTTTGCACATGCTTTTCATTTTTTCAAGAACACTGACACTGTTCATTTCTCATTTTGTCCAGTTAACCCTCATTCAAGTTCAAATTATACTTTAATGAATTTTTAAAAATTAAAGTATAGTTGATTTACAATATTATATTATTTCTGGTGTATGACATACCGATTCAATATTTTTATAGATTATACTGCATTTAAAGTTACTGTAAAACATTGACTATATTTCTCATGCTGTACCATATATACTTGTTAGCTTATTTATTTTATACATAAGCTTGTGTTTGTACCTCCTAATCTCCTACCCTTGTCTTGTCCCTTCCCCTTCCCTTCTCTCCACTGGTAACCACTGGTTTGTTCTCTATATCTGCTACTGTTTCTGCTTTTTTATATTTATTAATTTGCTAAGTTTTTAGTTCCACATATAAGTAATAACACAAAGTATTTATCTTTCTCTGTTTGGTTTTTTCACTAAGCATAGTACCCTTCAGGTCTATTCATGTTGTTGAAATAGCAAAATTCATTCCTTTTTATGGATGAGTAATAATCCATTCCAAATCTTTATCCATTTACTAGGTTGCTTCCATATCTTGGCTATTGTAAATAATGTTGCTATGAATATTGGGGTACAATATATCTTTTTGAATTAGTGTTTTCATTTTCTTCGGCTATATACCCATAAGTGGGATTGCTGGAGCATACGGTAGTTCTATTTTTAGTTTTTTTGAGGAACCTCCATACTGTTTTCCAAAGAGGCTGAACCAATTTACATTCCCACCAACAGTCTACTAGGATTTCCTTTATGCTATATCCTCACCAACATTTGTTATTTGTGGTCTTTTTGATCATGGCCATTCTGACAGGCGTGAAGTGCTATCTCATTGTGGTTTTGATTTGCATTTCTCTGATGATTAGCAACTTTAAGCATCTTTTCATGTGGTTGTTCCTCTTACATATTAATCCTTTAGGGAACACTTCCAACTACCTAACTCTGTCAAATCTCAGCATTTACAGTCATTGATAGAACTTTGTTTTTCTCCTTGTTATTGTTTCAGTCTTAAGATAAGTTGATTATTGCCTATGTCTCCCTTACCATAGTACATACTCCGTGAGGGTAGAGAAAGTATTTGTTTTTGTTTATTATAACACTCCTATTTTCAAACACAGTACCTGGAACATAGCAATTACTCAAGAAGTATTTGCAGAATGAATGAATTACTGATAAAGGTCATGCTACTGAGAAAACACTATCAGTCCCATGAAACTATATTAATCAAATCATTAAAGAAAAGGTATAATCTAAAAGAATAACCATGTGGACTTAGTTATTGGCTTTGCTTATATATTACAAACTATGAAAATGGTCTAAATATGTGATTCTTATCCCCTAGTTACAACATATAAAATAAGGCCAACTTCTCCGTCACCATCCCCACACTCCACCACACACATAGGATAATTTAAAAGTTCAGCAAAAGTATGCAAAAGGAAGCCCAGAGTTGTACTTTTAGGTAGGAGTAAAGGTGACAAAAATTGTTCTGCAAGAAAAAAAGGGAACTTTCTACTGAGAAAGAAGGGGGAGGGGAAGAAGGGTGAAGGAAGGACAGGAGTTAATTAAAGGCTTGGGGATTCTTTGTAAAAAGGAAAATGCCTAAAATTAAATTTCAGACTGTTAATGTTACAGTGTAAATCCTTCCATGTTCCCAAGCCTTCAACAATGTCTGCTATGTTAATTAGCTTAGATCAAGACTAAGCTACCACAAAAGGAGAGAGAGAGAGTCATAAGAGCCATCAAGCCACAAGGACCATTAAGGAGGTTAGCCATAGGTTTCTTTCTACTGGATTATATCTGTTTATACTTGTATAGCATTTCTCTAACATCACTTGGGCTGTACAATTCACTGGAAAACATCTTACTTGTTTTTGAATTTATAGGAATATGACAGGATGCCACATAAAACGTATGCCAGATGAACTCCTGCCTCTCCCAACTTCCTTGTTCCCACCCTTCCAGCTATAGTCACATCTCCACTTTGGGTCTTGGATTCAACATCTAACTTCAGTCTTCCTCATGATATTCCCTCTGACATTCCTTCCAACCCTGCATAATTAGACTCAACATGCTTGAATATTCCACTTATTTTATCTGGGCCTGGCTCACCAGCAGCACTGGGGAAGATAGCATTTAACATAGTGACCATCCACAACTAATGCTTAACAAATGACTGTTTGCTCCAGTCAAAATTAAATAAATCACATGATAGTAATTCTCTAGAATACCTAACAAACTTGTTAAGCTATGCTTTAATGTACAGATGTTTGTAGTGTTTCTCAACTTTTTAACCTAGTTCTACTGTCCAGGATTTTGTCGTTTTACTTTCTATAAGAGGTCCCAAGAGTATAGTAGGTAATATTTTGCCTTTTAAAAAATATTAAGTGATATTATGCAATGCTATAATATTAAATTTGCTTTTTAAAACAACACATCCTTTCCAACCTGTTTTGGAGTTTGTGATATTCCTCCCAATCCCACCCACTTCTGCTGACTGTGGAAGGCCTAGAGAGATAAGTTCTTGAACTGTTTGTAGAGAATCCTTGGTTTATGGTGGGAGTTGTCACCTTGAAAGAGTCTCTCTGTCCTTCTTAAGACCAGAAATAACCAGGAAGAGTACAAATACATTAAGTCATTACATGTAATGAACAATGTTTTAAAAACTGCTAAATAATCTGACCTACCCATCTAGAAGGGCGATGACGTTTTTCCTGGGCCGCCCAATATTAGGGCCATACAAGCTGGCTCTGGAGTAAATCCGGATGGGTTGCAACAGGCTCTTCAGCTGGATGTAATCCTTTCCCAACTGGCTGCCATTTACTGCCCGGCCATGCATGGTCCGATAGTTATTTGGTTCTAGATTAAAAGCAGACATGCAAGTCAGAGTTGGGAAGATTGAGGTTCTGCCAACCTTTTCCTAGCCACAGATCTCTCTCCCTTTTTTCTTAACAATGTAAACAAAATAACCAAAAGAGGGTACCAGCTAGCTTAACTTGAGAAACTATCCCAACAAAAAAGTCAAGTGCTATTTTATCATTCTATTTATTTTCAAACTAATCTTCACAAAAGGTCATCTAATCCACAACAGAGAGACCATACTGATTTTCAAATGATAGTTTATAATAGACGGCATATTGAATTGAACAGTATCCCCCCAAATTAATGTCAATCCAAAATTTTAGAATGTTATCTTATTTGGAAATAGGGTCTTTGAAGAAGTAATTACTCAAGATGAGGTCATATGGGATTAGGATGTGCCCTAAATCCAAAGACTGGTGTCTTTATAGAGAAAGGAGAGGAAGATTCAGGTACACAAACACACAGGGAGGAAGCCCATGTGTCAGTGGAGGCAAGAATTGAAGGGATACTGCTATTCCAAGGCTTGCTGGTAGCTATTAGAAGCTAGAGAGAGGCACTGAATAGATTCTCTCTTAAAGTCTCCAGAAGGAATTAACCCTGGCAATGCTTTGATCTCAGACTTCCTAAACTGTGATAGAACAATTATCTCTTGTTTTACGCCATTGAGCTTGTCATGACAGGCCTAGAAAACTAATACAAATGGTAAGAAGGGAAAGCTTCATAAAGATGAACTTCGTGTCAAAAATATAGAAAAATCTTTATGTTCAATTATAGCAAAGTGGCTGAGTGAAATAACTTAGAGTGAAATCCTCTCGCCCAGTCCCTGTTAACTTGGTAGTCCTAAAAAGACAAGGAAGTCCTAAAATCCAGCAGTTCCACTGATGGAGAGCTAACTGGATTTGCAATGAAGGACATAGCCCAGAGAGGGGCAACGTTTTGGTTAACTTGAGGTTTTGACACTGGTAGGGGCAAGAAATAGATCAGCGGACTCACAAGAAATGTAACAGGGAGATTTAGGGAGCAAGGAAATAACTGAGGATTTTGGTAAGCCCACAAATACCCCTCATAGTCTGGGAAGTTGTTCTCAGGAGGGACTAGAGAGGGCACTAGCTATCCACACATTCCCAGATGAATGTGAAACATAATATACTCATAAAGGACACATGAAAAGGCATGTCAGAAATTAAAAGCCAGCCAGATTTTCAAAATGCCTAAATCTTGAATGTGTTCACAAACCTATACACAGAGCTGATGGTAAAGATGAAAGCTTTAACAGCTCAAGGTAAGCATAACCTCTGATCATTCATCACCTCACCATTAAGCTATGCCGACTCAGAGGCAACCCCTGGGAAGCTGGCTTCTACAATTAAAAAATAATTGAAAAATTAAAAAGAAATGAATAGATATTAATAGCTACATGATGCAAGGGAGATGAACTCTATGGAACTAGTCCAGGAAGTGACTAAACAAACAGAAAAGAAACAACAAAAAAATCTCTGGAAAGGAGGATTTGGAATCCAGAGTTGCTCCAACATATTAACTAAAATGTATAGTTTTCAACCACAAAAAATGACAACATGCAAAGAAATAGGAAAGTATGGCCAATAAGCAAGCAAAAAAGTAAAAGAAACTATCTCTTAGGGAACTCAGATGTAGGACTTAGCAGACAAGGACTTCAAAACTGCTATTATAAATATGCTTAAAGAACTAATGGAAGAATAAAAAATTAAGGGAAAGTATTATTTTACTGACTAAATATAAATATAGAGATATTAAAAATAAATAAAGATAGAAATTACAAAAAATTATCAAATGGAAATCTTGGAACTGAAACAACTCTTCACATTTAGAACACAATGGAATTAGTAGCTGAATTTTTATCAGAAATAAGGCCAGAAGACAGTGAGATGATACATCCAAAATTCTGGGAAAAACATCAACCAACAATTCTGTATGCAGCAATCTATGCTTCAAAGCTGAAAGCAAAATGTAGATCTTCCCAGAAAAACAAAGGACAGAACTGGTTGTGAGAAAATCTGTCTTACAAGAAATAAGAAAGGATATCTTTTAGGTTGAAAGAAAATGACAGCAGATAGTGATTCAAAAGCACACAGAGAAATAAAGAACACCAGTGTATGTTAATATATGTGTGCCCTGACCATAATAGAATTAGACTGGAATTCAACAATGGAAAGAATTTGAGAATCTATAAATATTTGGAAATCAGAAAAATAATCCATGAGTCAAAGAGGAAATCACAAGAAGAATTAGAAAATATTTTAATGAAATTAAAATGAAATATAATACATAAAAATATATAGGATGACACCAAAGGCACAATCCATGAAAGCAATAATTAAGAAACTGGACTTCATTAAAATTAAAAACTTTTGCTCTGCAAAAGGCAATGTTGAGAGAATAGAAGACAAGCTAAAGACTGGGAGAAAATACAAAAGACATATCTAATAAATGGCTGTTATTCAAAATATAGAAAAAGCTTAAAACTTACTAAGAAAACAAACAAACTGATTTAAAAATATGCTAGAGGTCTTAACAGATACTCACCAAAAAAGACATACAGGTGACAAACAAGTATATGAAAAAAGATGTTCTACTTTATATGTTATCAGGGAAGTGCAAATTAAAAACAACAGTGAAGTTCACTATATACCTATTAAGAATGGCCAAAATTTGTAACACTAATGCCACCAAATACTAGTTAAAATATGGAGGAATTGGAGGAACAGAACTCTCATTTATTGGTGATGGGAATGCAAAATGATATGGTTACTATGGAAGTTTGGTGGTTTCTTACAAACAAAACATACTCCGAGCATATAATCCAGAAATCATGTGCCTTGTTTTTACATGGAGGATATGAAAACTTATGTCCTCACTTTGCCTGCACATGGATTTATGGCATCTGTATTCACAAGTGCCAAAACTTGGAGGCAAGCAAGATGTTCTTCAGTAGATGAATGGATAAATAAGCTGTAGTACAATCACACAATGGAATATTATTCAGCACTAAAAAGAAATGAGCCATCAAGCCATGAAAAGGTTCCATGAAGGAACCTTAAATGTATATCATTAAGTGAAAGAAAGTGTTAGTCGCTTAGTAGTATCCGATTCTTTGCAACTCCATGGACTGTAGCCCACTAGGCTCCTCCATCCTTGGGATTTTCCAGGCAAGAATACTAGACTGGGTTACCATTTCCTTCTCCAAGGGATCTTCTTGACTCAGGGATTGAACCTGGGTCTCCTGCATTACAGGCAGACTCTTTACTATCTGAGCCACCAGGGAAGCTGGCATTAAGTAAAAGAAGCCAATCTTAAAAGGCTGTAATACTGTATGATTCCAACTGTATGATATTCTGGAAAAGGACAAACTATACAGATTGTAAAAAGATCAGTGGTTGCCAGGGATTAGGGAGAGGTGGGAGGGATGAATAGGTGGAGCACAGAGGATTTTTAGGGCAGTGAATACTCCACATGATACTATAATGATGGATACTTGTCATTATACATCTCAAACCCATACCATGTACTCATCAAAAGTGAAACATAATGTAAACTATGAATTTTGGGTGATTATGACAGAGGATGAGATGGTTGGATGGCATCACCAACTCGATGGACATGGGTTTGAGTAAACTCTGGGAGTTAGTGATAGACAGGGAGGCCTGGTGTGTTGCGATTCATGGGGTCGCAAAGAGTCGGACACGACTGGGCGACTGAACTGACTGACTGACTGATGATGTATAATGTAGGTTCATCAATTGTAACAAATGTACCACTCTGGTGAGGGATATTGATAGTGGGGGAGGCTACGCAAGTGTGGGGGCAAGGAATATATGAGAAATCTCTGTACCTTCTCAGTTTTGCTGTGAACCTAAAACCATTCTTTAAAAAAGTTTTTTAAAAAAGTTAATTTGAATGTGAAGAGACACTGGGATACACACGCAGAAGGAAGGCCATGTGAGGACATAGTGAGAAGGTGGCCGTCTATAAGCCAAGAAGACAGCCCTCGGGGGAAAAAAGCTCTGCTGACACATATGTGTTAGACTTTTAACTTTTTTTATTGGTTAGGGAAGAAAAAAACAGTGCTTATAGCCTTATAGACTCCTATATTAGAAAATAAGAAAGATCTCAAGTCAATAATCTAAGTTTTTCTCTTAAAAAGAAAAAAAAGAAAAAGAAGAGGGAAGTAAAATCAAAGAAAGAAGAAATAAAATAATAGAAATTAGAGTAGAAATCAATGATATAAAAAAGGAGAAAAATCCACTGAAGTAAAAGGTGGTTCTTTAAAGAGATCAACAAAATCAATACAACCTTTGGCTAGACTGACCAAAAAATAGAGAGAGAAGAAACAGATGACCAAAGTTAGGAATGAAAGAGGAAATACTATTAAGGACCTCACATTAATTAAAAGGCTAAGGGACTACTGACACTTGCTCCTTGGAAGGAAAGCTATGACAAACCAAGACAGCATATTAAAAAGCAGAGACAACACTTAGTCAACAAAAGTCTATATAGTTAAAGCTATGGTTTTTCCAGTAGTCATGTATGGATGTGAGAGTTCAACCATAAAGAAGGCTGTGAAAAGTGAAAGTGAAAGTCGCTCAGTCGTGTCTGACTCTTTGTGACCCCATGGACTACACAGTCAATGGAATTCTCTAGGCCAGAATCCTGGAGTGGGTATCTGTAAGAACTGTAAGAAGCTGTAGGAATGTAAGGCTGAGTGCTGAAGAATTGATGCTTTTAAACTGTGGTGTCAGAGAAGACTCTTGAAGGTCTCTTGAACTGCAAGGAGATCAAACCAGTCCATTCTAAAGGAAATCGACCCTGAATATTCACTGGAAGAACAGATGCTGAAGCTGAAGCTCCAATACTTTGGCCACCTGATGTGAAGAGTTGATTCATTGGAAAAGACCCTGATGCTGGGATAGATTGAAGGCAAAAGGAGAATTGGGCAGCAGAGGATGAGAAGGTTAGAT